ACCATTTTTGGGGGGTAAACACCTCGGGGAGGTCATTTTGGGGGTCGACCACCTCGGGGGTGACCATTTTGGGGGTTGGCCACCTTGGGGGTGACCTTCATGATGGAGGTGGCCACCATGGGATGGTCATTTTGGGGGTTGACCACCACAGAGGTGACCATTTTGGGGTGTTGCCACCTTGGGGGTGACCTTCACGATGGAGGTGGCCACCATGGGATGGTCATTTTGAGGTTGACCACCTCAGGGGTGATTGTTTTTGGGGGTAAACACCTCGGGGTGGTCATTTTGGGGGTTGGCCACCTTGGGGGTGACCTCCACAATAGAGGTGGCCTCCTTGAGGTGATCATTTTGAGGTTGACCACCTCGAGGGTGACCTCCACGACAGAGGTGGCCACCTTGGGGTGATCATTTTGAGGTCAACCACCTTGGGGGTGACCTTCACGATGGAGGTGGCCTCCTTGTGGTGGTCATTTTGAGGTTGACCACCACGGGGTTGACCATTTTTGGGGGGTAAACACCTCGGGGTGGTCATTTTGGGGGTCAACCACCACAGGAGTGACTGTTTTTGGGGTTGAAGACCTCAGAGTGGTCATTTTGGGGGTCGACCACCTCGGGGTTGACCTCCATCATGGAGGTGTCCACCCCGGGGGTGACGTTGTCCCCTCCCGCAGCCATCGAGCAGAGCATCGAGCAGGAGGAAGGTCTGAACCGCTCCTCGGCCGACTTACGCATCCGGAAAACGCAGGTATCCTTCCTCCTCCTCCTCCACCTTCCTCCTCCTCCTTCTTCTTCTCCTCCGAGGTGGCCACCAACCCCTGGTTGTCCTCGTTGTGTCCCCTCCCACCCCAGCACTCCACGCTGTCCCGCAAGTTCGTGGAGGTGATGACCGAGTACAACGCCACCCAGTCCAAGTACCGCGACCGCTGCAAGGACCGCATCCAGAGGCAGCTGGAGATCAGTAGGTCACCGTGGGGTGGGGTGGGGTGAAGGTGGAGAAGACCCACCCTCCGTGAGGACTCGGTGGGTCACCCACCTCCTCCCCCCGTATCTCCACAGCCGGCCGGACCACCACCAACGAGGAGCTGGAGGACATGCTGGAGAGCGGGAAGTTGGCCATCTTCACCGATGACGTAGGTTGAGGGGCCTCCAACCCTCAATGGGGCACCTAGAACCCAA